ATCCAGTTCCCTGTTGATGTGCCTGGGAAAACAGCAGAAGATAGTTCAAGTGCTTCAGCCCCTGCTACTCCACATGGGAGACCCAGAAGAAGCTCCTGGCTCCTGACTTCAGCCTGGGCAGCTCTAGCCTTGCTGCCATTTGGGGAGTGAACCAGCAAATGGGAGATTTCTCTTTCTGTAACTCTTCATATCAAATAAATAAGCCTTTTTTTAAAAGCTGCCCCTCATTGATTTATCTCAGATTAAAATTCAAGATTTTATTCTGAGTAAGATATGAAAAAAGTGACATATTTTTCATCAGTCATATAATCTAAATTTTTATTAATTCAACTGTTTTAGAGCAATATTTAATACCAATTATATTTCCTATATATGTGCTTAATGGACTCTTTACCTTAGATATAATAAATTCATATTTTTTATTTTTTCAGTGAAGAGATGTTTATTGTTTTAAGATAGTCCATGATTTTTAGCAAAGGAAACAAATAATTATGAAAACTAAATATCTAAATCAATATGAAACACATTTCAAGTATATTTTCTTTCCTTCTGTACTCAGAGTATCTGTTAAATGAATGAATGAGTCAAACTCTGCCCAAGCCAGCTGTAATACACTCTGAGAATGTGTCCTCGTGTCTCTATGTTGCATTTTATTCATCTCTAAAATGAGGGGATTGAACCAGAAAATGCCTTAGGTACCCCCATCTCTAGAATTCCAAACCCAAGTTATGCAGTTTCACATCTCAGAATATGATTTCTGGGATTATTAATTAGTATCTCTTCACTGATTCACCCTCCCTCGGCCAATAATCAAATACCACATGATGCAAGCTTTCTCTGAGATTTCAACAACCCTATGTACATATGATTACAGCGACAATAATGTAAATAGCATTACCCCTCAACTGTAAACAAATCCAAATAGCATAAAGGGACACAAGCAGTAAGAACTTAAAATCATTCAGTTGTAGAACTGAGGGAAGCAGATGAACAGGGGGCTGTGAAGCATGCAATAGTAGAGCTGCATCTAAACGCATTAACTGTAAAATTCAGATTTCCACAAAGAGCACATGGCAGGTTCCTTACAGAGTGTGGGAGCTCATGTTGTACGGCATTTCTTCAGTGCATTTCAGAGAAAACAATTCCTGGAGGAAACATCCAATAACTCAAAATAAATACACTGACTCAAATTAAAGCAAAGCTCCCAGGAGCTAACAAAGAGGAGCTTGCTGTCATGAAATGAACACCATCTGCAGTTATTTAGTCGTACTCTGTTAACCTAGAAGAACACACAGCATTGCTACAAACGTAAGTGAATGCTGTGTGCCTTTATATCACTTCTTCATTTATCATTGGTTTATTCATCAGCTGAAGCCGCTCTAAGAAAATACTTAGACTGAGCAGCTTAAACCACGGCATCTATTTTCTCACAGCCTGGAGGCTGAACTCTGGGGTCAGGGCACCAGCCTGGTCTGTTTCTGGAAGGCCTCTCTTCCTGGCCCACAGGCAGCCTCCTTCTCTCTGTGTGCTCTCATGACGTATTCTTTTTGTGCACAGATGTGTATAGAGGGCACAAACACTCTGGTGTCCCTTCTTAAAAGAACACAAATACTAATGTGCCAGGACCCCACCCTCCTGACCTCACTTACCCTTAACTATCCTCATAAGCTCTATCTCCAACTGAAATCACATCTCCAAATGTATTGAGAGTTAGGGCTTCAATATCTGAATTTTGCAGAAACACAATTCAGTCCATATGAATAAGTTTGAACACGAGGGCAAAGAGCAGGCACCTGAATGTTTTCCTACTTCCTCCTGTTCTTTCTTCAACTCAACATTATTAGAAATAGAAATACTATGAAAAAAATGAATGTTCAGTGTCCATTTATCATATAGAAAGTTATTTAAAGAGAAATACAGGCAACTTGGGGGGCTCTACCCAAAGTACACTGGAGCCAAACAAAAGCCTTTAAAAGGCAGCCTGCCCTGTGGTGACCCTTGGCAGTCTGTGGGACAGAAAGAAGTAAACGGTGACTTGCTATCTATTAGACATTTACAAACAATGATGGCAGATGGACTGTCAAGATTTTTTTCAATTTACAAATAATGATCACACCTAAAAATTTACTGATTCTCTACCCATACATATATAACGTTTGTCGTGTGTTGTATGAAAGGAGAGAAGGTTAGCACTCCCCTTGACATATATAACGTTTGTCAAGAAGCAGGAATTTACAAAGCCCTTTCATAACAGATTCAAGAATCATCTGATTCTTGAATGCACACTTGAAGACCCACACCCTTAGCCATACCCAAGAATACTAGTATTGTTTTCATTCTACAGGTAAGAAAAGGGAGGCTGAGGAAAGGAGCCACAACTAATGAATGGAAGAAAACTACAACTCCTAGTAACTCACAACTTGTAGTAATTCATAGGTCATCATTGCTGACAAGATACTTAGCAAATGGAGATAAATGGCCGAATGGATACATAAGAAATAATCATAAGCATTGGAGAATTCTCTATTGTAAACCAGAAAACTTTGCTCATACCCATTTGGAACTCAGAGTTTTTTGGGAAAATAAGGTAGTTAGACATGTACTTCAAGAGAAGTAAGATGCTATATAAATGATAATTATATAATATACAAAATAAGTGCTACAGAAATTTGATAAGGAAGCTTTTATACCAGTGAAAGAGTAGATTTCAAACACACAGAAGACATAACAGGTAGTCATGGGTTTCCTTTCTGAACACCATGAGATTCGGATATATTTAATTTTATCATGTGAACAAGAAAAACTTGAGCTGGTAGACAACATTATGTGCATATTTGCAATACAAGCACACAAGAATGAGCTCATATCTCAACCAAAAATGTGAACTTTTGAAAAGTGATAAGCTATTTTTGATTTAAAGAACAGAAAGAACTAGTTACAGATAGGTGGCAGAAGGACAAAAAACTTGACAAAATGAGAAAATGTTCAGTACACAATGTACATTGTCCACTGTACCTTTCTGATTATCAGATGAATACTGCATATTACCACCTTCTTATAAACCATCTTGTTTCCTCTTGATATGCATGTGTTACTGTCTCATGCTCCCATCAAACTATTGTAAAAGAAATGTCTCTACCATTCTTCTGTTTCACAGACATTTAAAAATACCTTTTATTTCAACAGAAACATTTCAACTTCCCACAACTCCAGAGTGCATCTGGAGTTGGCTGTCTGAGATCCAATTCCTCCTCTGCTCCTTATAGATGTGCAGCCTTGGGCACAATTTCTCTGGCCTTGGTGTCACAAGGTTGCTAAGATGTTAAATTCACTTACTATTTAGGAAATCAGAAAGTACCTGGAATATGATGAATGAGCAAAAATGCTAGCTTCTGTTTTTATTATTACTTTCCTCCAATTTTTCCCTCATGACCTAGTAATGGTCTTCATAAAAAATGCAAATTTGTTGTCATTAGCATTGAAAAAGAACCAAACATGCTAACATGGCCTTACAAAGGTCTAGAAGGTCTCACCCTCACCTCTTCTCTAGCTTAAATTTTATGCTCTAGCTTGACAAAACCAGGGCTCCACCAACTTGACTTGACTTAAAATTTCCTAAGCTAGGATTCATGGAGGGATGAGTTCTGCTTTCTAACCAAATAACAACAAAGAAAATTCCACTTTTTTATTTTAAATTAGGTATTATCTGTAAGTACAAATTCATGAAACAATTAATGGAATCATACTTGTATATGAGAGTTTACCATATACTACAGGTATATTCCAATCTCTGTGCTAAGTGTGCTAGACACATTATCTCATTTAATCTCATTAACAACCCCATGAAGAGTAGTATCCATTTCGTCTGTATTTGATAGAAGAGAAAACTGAGAGTGAGAGATGTTCTTCTGCCACAGAATGAAGTGGCAAAACAGCCTGTTAGACACCTGTATCTTAGGTCCTCCTCCTCACACTCCCTCCTCACACTCACTCTGCCTGGCTCTGTACTACACATATCAATGTCATCTCTACAGTATGATTTCTATTGTATAAGTGAGAAACTGACACAAAAAGAGATCACCTGTCTTTCCCATGATCCCAAAGCTAGCATTATCTGAACTGAGATTTTTGCAATCAAAGTCTTAAAAATCTAAAGAGTTCTTTGCCATCACCCAGCATCATTGCTCTGTCTTTTTAAATGCTCCAAGATCCTAATAATTCTCAACTAGAAATGAATTCCACTTCTACTGTATATTTGTTTTTAAAAAATATTCAATTCTGCTTTTAGAAGATAAAAAACAAATGGAATGGATGAAACTCATAGTTTATATTAAATATAGATAAATGATTAACAAGTACAGTACATTTATATAAGCATAAGTACTAAAGACACATGCGGCAACTGAACACCTAACAGTCATGGTACATAAAACATACAAGAGACACAAAATACCAATACTACATAGAAAGTGTTCAACATTAATAAAACTCATGCCACATGTTTTATGCCCAAGGAATTAAAAAAAAAAAAAAAAACTCAGAACTGTTCAGTAGGCTAATTAGGAAGCTACAGCAGTAGCCAACGTACTTGCTCCTGCATCTCTCTGAGAGAGCAAATGTGTGTCATTGGACTAAGACACCTTCTCTGTTTGGGTCCTCCCACTGCAACCTCACAGCTCAGATCCTCAGATGATATGATACAGAGATAGGGAAACAGACAGACAGACACAGAGAGAGGAAGTATGAATATTCCTATGCCAGGAAACAGGTGGTGTCTCCTTTCACTATCTTAGCCCATATCCTAAGTTTATTTCCTTTCCTGTGCTCTGTGAGTCTCTGTGCTCTGTGACCTCTGGGATAACTTGCTGGTAATATACTGGTAACTTCCCACATGACCTCCCTAAAGGGCAATGATATCAAGCACAACAGTGCGATTTCCAAGCAGAAAGTCTGAGAAAATCTCAGGCTCTCTCTTTATTGTACACTTCTTTTCTACTCACCTTTCATCAGCCAGAGTGGCTCGTTCCACAGCCCAAGCTGCCACAAACACTGCTGGAAACCCTGTAATCAGAAAGGGATTCACATATCATATATCTTTAAGATTAAGGGTTGTTTTTTTCTCATATTCACTGCCCATGGAATATAATACTAGCAATTGGGAGATAAAAACAAACATGAAAATGTTCATAGGAGAGCATGAAAAAAATTTCATTTTTTCAGTTTAAGAAATGAGAAAGAAAATTCATGTTATTTGTTCCTTAAAATCTGTAGATGAAGGTTGGTCCAATTTTCACCAAGAGATTTAGGGTCAAGCCATATTTGAGGGGACTGAAGTTCCTTGGGACAGAAATAAGCAGTGGTTGGTACACTGGACTCTTGCCACACTGATAGAAGCTGAGGTAAGTTGTTGTTTTTTAAAAAAAAATGATTTTTTTTTCATCTAAAAAATGGAAGGCATAGTGAGGCTGCCCAGCAACATACAAAATCAGGAGTTTTAACAGGTTTTTAACCTCTTCATTTTTAGTTTATATTGGCTTAACACAGACATGTTTGCCTGCATAGCAGCTTAACAAAGATAAACCATTTTGTCAGTTTGATGATTTCTGTATATAACATTTGTCCATCACAGGTGATAAAAACAAATACATCACACTGACTTTCCACTGATTTCTTTGCTCCATAATAAAGTTTGACTGTTCAGTTCATGTTATTCTTTATTCAACTCTAACATTATAAAAAAAAGAATAAAATATAAGCCATAATTTTATAGAACAAAGCAATAGAGGATTTCAAGATTTAATGGATGGCTTTTCATTAAATGGTCTTTATGAAGCAAGATGAAATAAAGGAGAGATGGATACTGTGGGGAGCAACTCGGACTAGACTAAGTTACTGGAATTAAGACTTATTCTATGCATCTGCTCTCCCACAATATGGCGCTGAGAAGGGAGAAACAGCTTCCACACAGCTGCCTCCAGTTCAACCAATAAACAGCAGGACCTGCTCCTGATTGGAGGAGGGCAGCGTACTCGGCATGTGGGTAGCAGAGTTGGGATTGGTGGAAGAGGACTATAAAGGAGGAGAGAGACAACATGCACCAGGAACATCTAAGAGGAACATCTATCTGAAGGAACACCTGTGCAGCCCCCGAGAGAGCCGGCCGGCGGTGTGCCGCTCCACCGCGGAAGTGGGGAAAGTGGCAGGGGGAACCGCCCTTCCACGGAGGTGGAAGGGTCGGTAGCCAACCCGGGAAGAACCAACAGCAAACCCGGGGAGGGCCGAGCAGACAAAAGAACAGCGCAGGGTCCTGTGTCGTTCCTCCACGAAGAGGGGGAGCGACAGGATACTATAATAAAAACAGTATAGAACTAGGCAGCACCTTGCAAAGACAGAAAAAGTTTCTGACTTAGAACATTTTTCTATCAAGCACAATATTAAATTCTTTACCTTTTAAAAACACATTTATGATTTTTCAAACATTATTTCTTGGCAACAAAGTGAACAAAATAGGTTCATATGAAGCAAATGTTCAGAAAATAATGAAAATATGTTGAGACCCATAATACTTGCTTTAGTGTCCTTAGTGACCACCCAGCTAATTGAATTTACACCCAAATGGTTTATCTGACTGTTGAATTTTATGATTTTATATTCTATTTTTTAGTTATCTTCTATAATAATTCTTTTTAACCTGCTCAAATTCTATATTCTAGAAAATTTTGTCAAAATTAACATGTCTAATTCTAGCTATTTCTTAGATACAGTTTGCTTATTCTACAATATATATATCCATTAATCCATCCATCCATCCCAATTATCCATCCATCAAGCATTTATTAAGTGTCCATTTCCATGTCAAGGATTGTTGTGTCAGAAATTGGAACAATCAGAAAATAGTCAATATTCCTGTTTTCCTGAAACTTATACTCAAGTGAAAGAGGCAAAGGCAATAAAAACAACTATGATTCTTACCAACTTCTATGAAAAAAAAGAACAATGCTATATAACAAGGCAAGCATGGCTATTTCTCAAAGGATGAGATCCCTTTGTTGTCTTGGTGATCTTCAAAAAGCATTCAAAGAATACTGATCAAAATACTCAATTTTCTCATTTTTCGGATCTGTACCTTCTGCTTCTTTTATAATCTCCTAATAAATCAGATAATTCCTGAATGATATTCAGTGCAATACTGACTACTGGTGCTTGAGGTAATATTATGTTTTATATGACAGTTATATCAATTATCTTGTGTAGGCACTATGTCTGAATGAAACTGCTTTTCTCATTCCCAAAGGCTTTTCCATTCACAAGACTAGAATTGAGATCATCGTGAAGGAAAAAAAAGAACAGAAAACCACTTTTTGTAGTTCTTTTGATTTCTGATCATCAGTCATTATCACATAATTACATAATTTAGAACACATAAATACAAAGGAAAATATTTAAAATCTAAAGTTACTTTTACATTTAAATGTTAACTTAAGTAAATGCACTGCAAACAAAAATGTTACTCAATATCTGCCTTTATTGAAAACTGAGTTATTTTCCTATGACACACCTGTATAAATATGTCTGGTGAAGAACAGGTTTTGGGGCTGGGCATTTGGCTCAGTAGATTGAGATGCCACTTAGGACACCACATCCCATAACCAAGTACCTAGATGTGAGTCCTGCCTCTGCTTCCAATTCCAGCTTCCTGCTACTTTTCAAGGGAGGCAGCAGATGACGGCTCAAATAGTTGGATCCTTGCCACTCATGTGGAAGACCCAGATGAAGCTCTGGGCTCCTGGTTTGGGTCCGGCTCTTGGAGACATTTGGGGAGTGAGCCAGCAACTGTAAGTTCACTCTGTATCTCTCCCTCTCTTTCTCTTTTCCCCTCTTGCTCTCTCTCTTGCTTACTTTCTCTGTCTGTCTCTCTCATTCAAATAAATGAAAAGTAATTAATGATAATTTTTAACCTGATAATACAATTAGACTATGGAAGCAAGTTAACCTAAAGGATCTGACTACGTAATTTTTGGCAAGGGACTAAGGTTTGGATGTGGTTTTTTTCCCTCCAAAGGTTCATATACTGGAAGTTCAGTTCCCAGTGTGATGATGTTGAAAGGTGATGGAATCTTTGAAAAGGAAGGGCCTAATAATGGTGATTATGTCACCAGGGGCACCATCCTACAGCAGCATTAACGGCCACCTCATGGGAGTGGTTAGGTCTTGAAGGACATGGGTTGTTATAGAGCTGGCTGAGTTTTTTCAGCTCACTCTCATGCCACCTCTCTTAGAATTCAATCTCTCCTGCACACTGTCACCACGTGATGCCATCTGCCATGACACCTTCACAAAACACCCATTTCCTAGACCTCCAGAACTATGAACCAAACAAACCTCTTTACTTACAAGTTACCAAGTTTCAAGTATTTGATCATACCAATACAAAATGAACTGACAGTGACTTTCACACGCATACATCTGTGCTATCAAACAGATGATTAAAATATGTTTGCTAGATAGACATCATGCTAAAACATGATCTGGAACTACAGTACCTTCTCACAATTACTTTCAAAAACACAGAATGAGAAAATACTCTATGTGGAAACCTGACAACAGGGATATGACTATGCAACTGTACCAAGATAGGTACATTTACATGATAATATGATCATATTGGCACTTCATTTGACAGCTGAAAATTAAGAATAATTTCTAATGTAGAAGTAAATTATCATATTCAATAAGGATAAAGAAACAAAACTGACACCTTTTAGAAATACAACATAAATATAGGGGAAAATTCATGGTTGAAAGTAAAAAATTGAACCAATAATTTTTTTTTATTTATGGAATAGCTGAGGCAAGGATAGGGAAAATTAAGAGTGTGACTGATTGAAAGAAAAGAGACAGTCACCATTGATATTTGCATTTATTCTTTTATACATCTTGTTTCGTGATTTAAAAATATATAAAACAGTCACTTTAAATATTTGCCTTTAATTTAGTAAAAGTCAGACAAGACATCTGTTCCTCTTCAGATTTTAATTTCCTTTTCCTTCAATTATGGCTAGGAGTCATGAAACTCATAGAAGTCAATGTAATTCCAGATAACATTCCAACATGAATAACAGATTAATAGATTTCTGAGTATTAATCTAGTTGAGAAGAGCATAAAATTATAATATTTGGGTCCCAATGAATGACAAAGGAATCCAAGAAAGGTCTTTAATCCAACAACACCAATAAATCACATCATAAGAAGAAATATTAAAATGGTCCTCTATGAATTACTCTATCCAGGATCCTTCATGCCCTGGCCTGAACTGCCAGCATCCCATATGGGCGCCAGTTCGAGACCTGGCTGCTCCACTTCCAATCCAGCTCTCTGCTATGGCCTGGGAAAGCAGTAGAAGATGACCCAAGTCCTTGGGCCCCTGCACTCGCATGGGAGACCAGGAAGAAGCTCCTGGCTCCTGGCTTCAGATCAACACAGCTCCAGCCATTGCAGCCATCTGGGGAGTGAAGCAACGGAAGGAAGAGCTTCTCTCTGTCTCTCCCTCTCACTGTCTGTGACTCTACCTCTAAATAAATAAATAAAATCTTTTAAAAAATAAAACAAAACAAAATCAAGCCTGTAGTGTTAAAATGCTAAGTTAAAATAACATGGTTCTGAAAAAAATAAATTAAAAAAAAAATTGATAATTCAGAAATATCATGTAGATAATTTTTTCAAATATACCAAAATTATCTAAGTGTTCACATAGTGATATCTATCAACTGCAACATAGTTTCAAAGTATAAAAGTATATAAAATAACAAGAGTGCCTTGTGCTTTCTGAAAGGTAAATATTTGTAAAATATCAAACTTTAGACCAAACATTACCCATAGAATCCAAATGGTATTTGTTAAATAAGTCTACAGAATAGTAGAAAAAAAATTCCCACATAGTTCTTTGAAAATTACATATTAAGTAGAATTTAAGTGGTTTTATTACCGACACTTGAATTCTGTCTTTTGTGTTTTCCATTTAATTTTATAGGGGTGATTTTAATCATCTCAATATTTACCTTGAAATGTCTTGTTTTGTATTAAAGAATTAAAATAAAAACACATAGTTCATAAAAAAAAAAAAAAAAAAAAAAAAAAAAAAATAACATGGTTCTGGTTTCTTTCAATTGTCTGGTGTTCCTAGAGATAGGAAGCACGTTCGACTATTTAAAAAGAAACTGAAGAACTATTTTTAGTGAAATTCTTTTCATTATATATGCCCTAGACTTGATTACCTTTTTTCAAAAAAAAGAAAAAAAAAATGGAGCTGTGATGATAGAGTCAGGAAGTTCTAGCTATAGAGCTAGAACTCGACATACCCCAGATTTTTACTGCTTGATTGTGGCTAATTGAGCATAATAGTGCATGTAAAACACTTTCACAGTGAGTGTCCACAAAAATCTTACTAGCTTTCATTTATGTTTTAAACTATTCCATGAAATGAAAACTTCAACCTATAATTCTTATCTATTATAATTACCACTCCTATGCCAAAAATTTGGGGGTCAATTAAATAAAGAGTTGTTAAGCAAAGTAAAAAACTCACGTAGCATAGAAGCTCACTGGAATCTTGGCTGTTATTCTCTTTTTCACAGGAAGATTTGGAAAGCAGTTTACTGAATTTCAGTAGGACAAACGTCTCACTTTAAGAAGGGACATACTGAGTAATATAGACCAAGTGAAGAGTTAGAGGACCGCACCAGTTAGCTATCAAACCAACTGGTAAATAGAAAAAAAAAGAATTTATTACAAACGTGATAAGCTATGTAGAAAATTTAAAAAGAAAATATAATTCAAACTGACATTCGCATTCATTATTGAATTTTTAGAGGATATAAAAGAAATTTTTAAACTTATTTACTGGAAAGGCAGTGAAAACTCCAATCTGCTGATTCACTCCCAAATGCCTTTGCCTGCAACAGCCAGGACTGAGTCTGACTGAAGCCAGAAACCAGGAATGAAATCCAGGTCTCCCTTGGGCAGGGAAGGAACTCTATTACATGGCTATCACTGGTGCTTCTCAGGAACTGCATTAACAGGAAGCTGGAGTCAGAAGCTGCAACCGGTATCAAGTCCAGGGATTCGGGTCCGGGGTCATGGCACAGGGATTACGCCTCCACTTGCAACATTTATATCCCTTAGAAGCACTCTGTACCTTTCACTTCTGATCCAGCTCCCTGCTGATGTGGCTGGAAGAGCAGCGAAGACTGGCCAGGTACTTGGGTCCTGCCACCCATGTGAGAGAACCAGATGGAGTTCTAGGCTCCCGGCTTTGGCCTGCCCCAACCCCACCTGTCACAGACATTTGGGAAATAAATCAATGGATTGAAGATCTCTCTGTATCTCCTCTTCCTCTGTAACTCTGTCTTTCAAATAAATTAAATAAATCTTAAAAAAAGAAAGAAAGAAAGAAACCCAGGTACTCTGATGTGAGATGCAAGCATCTACAGAGCTAAGTCAAACATTCACCTCAGTTACTTATTTTTTTAAGATTTTATTTATTTATTTATTTGAGACGTAGAATTATAGACAGAGAAAGGGAGAGACATCGGCTGGTTCACTCCCCAAATGACTGCAATGGCCGGAGCTGGGCCTATACAAAGCCAGGAACAAGGATTTTCCTCCAGGTCTCCCATGTGCGTGCAGGGGCCTAAGGACATGGGCCATCTTCTACTGCTTTCCCAGGCCATAGCAGAGAGCTGGATCAGAAGTGGAGCAGCCAGGACCTGAACCAGTGCCCACCAGGATGCCACACCACAGGCAGAGGTTTAGCCCACTATGCCACAGTGCTGCCCCTTTATGAATATCTTTCTAAGACATTCTACTAATTACTGAATATGGGTTCACAGATATTATTTTGGTATGAAGATAAACTATCAAAAAACTATGAAGAAATTTCAAAAGTGCCCTTATTAGTAATTGCTAGTCAAAGAGAAGAGAGAGCCTTAAAACTTGAGATGTCTTCAGAAACAACACTTTCATCACAGCAATTAGTATTTCATAATAATTGAAGTGTTGCAGTAAATTTGCACTTGGTCTTCTTGAAGGTTGTTAATTAGCTAGCAGTAAATTAATATTTCTTCACATTGTAAGTGATAAGGTAAAACAGGCAAAGGAAAATTCTTATTTTGAAAGAGAAATAAAAGCTTCAAATTTAGTCTTGAATCATTTATTTATTTTTTCCTATGCTGAGAACCTCATAGTTTGAATATTAAAATAGCAGTTAAGATCTGTGATTCATAGCCTGAAGACACTTCTTAATTTAACCACATAAGAGTTTTAATTTCCCTCAAATTTTGACAAGCAAACAGTGTCATTGTCTCCCTATCATATTGAGTGTCTAATTCAATAATTATTCCTAGACTGATAAGTCTTTTTAAAATCCAGACTGGATGCATTTTTATAATTATTTATTATCAACATAATTTGAATGATATCCTTCTAAAAGAAATACTAAATTCACATAATGAATTTCTAGTTTGTATTTGTTATATGTAGTCAAGTTGATTGTGCTAATTTCTTTCAGGCTTTCTCATCATATGACCTAAAAACATAAATAAAAGACTCATCATCATAGCTTAGAATTTCAAAAATGAAATTCTAATGAAAAATGAAATTCTAATGAAATGTATAGGATGAAGTTATGATAAGTAAAACATTAACATACAAAAAGGACAGCAGTTGCAAATATGCATGGCTAGCAATGTAGTCTCTATTATTTCCTCCAAAGAAATCCTTCAAGAATCTAGCCCAAGAACACTAACAGTAAATTAGACTTGAAAACATTGTTGCCACTGGGAGAACTATAGACTCGATCTTAATCAATTTTATCTAAGAACAGGGAAAGAGAAAGAAGGTGGGATGAAGGTAAGTTGGAGAGCAATGGCTTCAGGAAAACGGCCGCAGGATGCCAAGCATAGACATGACAAGAGAGTCCCGTGTTTCCCGGGAAAGGAGATAATGGGCCTTACCCCAGCCTATCAAGATGAAGCCCCAAAGATATCTGGTGTCCGAAAAGAACGCCACGAAGATTAGACTGTGCAGGTAGAGACCTTCCACCAGGATCCAATAGTAGTTTGTAGCCAAGAAGTAAATAAACATCACAACAGCAATCTTGCACCCAATCTGTTTCAAATAAATCAGAATTGGATCATATTAGAGCTTTACAGGCTGCCCACATTAGACCATTAAAAAGTAGTTCTTCAGTTTCTTTTTTATAGTCTAGGAAGGCCAAGATAATAGAAAGAGATGAACAAAGTTATTTTAACAGCTTTTTCAATACTAAAGATTGAATTTTATTTATAAAATAAAATGCTTTCCCTTAGAGCTTACAAAATATCCATTTTTATTTTTCCTCTTTATAAAAATAATACATGAACATCAGATAAAACTAGGAAAGTATAAAAATGAAGGAAATATTACCTATTTTTCTAACAGATTTATTTTATTGTGGTTTTTTAAATATAACTATGGCTAAAAAAAACTGACTCAAAAGTTAACAACTGAAAACTACAAGCATTTAATAGGTCTTATAAGCCCATGAATGGCTGAGTGGCTCTGCTGATCTCGTGTAGGCTTATTCATAGAGGTCTACTTTACCTGGGACACTATCACTTCTATTTCCTTCTGTTGGGCAAAATAAATCGCAAGGTCAGCCCAGAATCAGAATCAGTAGGAACTACAAAGTTATGGTAAAGAGGCATAGGTACAGACAAAGCACTAATTTATATCAAGACAATCTACAATAACTAGCATTCAGTTTACCATTTCAGTGATCTAATGAACTATACTATTGGGTGATTCTATTTACTAACAAATACCAGGATATTTTAGAACAGAAACAAATACTATGGAATATTATATTGGGACAAAACTTTGCAGCTATAACAAAGGGACTAAATATTATGGACCTTTAAATCCCAAGTTTCTGTTTTTGTTTTTGTTTTTTGTTTTGACAGGTTTTTTACTTCACTTTTGAAAGTAGTAAGCCATGACAATTTTTTTGGAACAGGCATCAAATGCCATTCCAATCATGTGCTGTTTATAGTTTCCTTTTCAGAATGTTGAAGAAAGACTCAAGCACCTTTAATCATCTAAAATGAGGAATGATTAGACATGAGAGGAGAGAATTGAAGAAGTAATTGTAAATATTCAAACTGTTAGTCTGATTCTTAGTTAGGAGACAAGATATCCCAAAACAAATTAACATATATTTAGTGGAATGTAAATTTTTACTTATTCATAATATTGTATGTATCAATAGTGAGAGATAATCGTGAAAACACTTACATACTGTGACTTCTCCAAAGATGGTGCTTCAATGGAATTTTGTAGGCCATCCTGCGTTACCAGGGACTTCAGGTCCTTTACACCTATGTAAGCATGGACCACTCTGTCCTTGACAAAGATGCTTGCAGCTCTCATCATGAAAGACACAAATAAGTGCATGTGGATGTAGTTTCTAGTGCAGTGCAATCGTCTGTGGGAAAAAATATACACAAATTAGAACAAAATTAGAAATTGGGACAGAATGTAAACATAAGCTCCTCTCAAAAAATAAGAAAATATGGGGCCGGTGCTGTGGCATAGCGGGTAAGGCCACCACCTGTGGCGCTGGCATCCCATGAGGGCACCAGTTGGAGTCCCAGCTGCTCAACTTCAGATCCAGTCCCCTGTTAATGCACTTAAGAGAGCAAAAAAAGATGGTCCAAGTACCTGGGCTCCTGTACCCACATGGGAGACCCGAAAGAAGTTCCTGACTCCTGACTTTGGCCTGGCCTAGCCCTGGCCATCATGGCCATTTGGTGGAATGAGCCAACGGATGGAAGACCGCTCTCTCTCTCCCTTTCTCTCCCTCTCTCTCCCTCTCTCCCACTTCCCTCCCTCCCTCTCTCTCTATATAAAACTCTGCCTTTCAAATATATAAATCTTAAAAAAAAAAAAAACATGGTAAATCTGAAAAAAGACAGAAACTCATTATTATGTTTTCAATAGAAACAACTGAGATCAAAAACGAAAAATAACTCTTTAAGAATTAATTTGGCATGAACCCTGATCTTCTGTTGTGTTCATCTAGATTTTCAGTGTTAAATATTAAAGACCAGTATTTGATATTACCTATTAAAGTTAATAAATGATTAATTGAGAACCACCTTGAAACAGAATAAACATTATTAAAACCAGAACTTCCAAATTTTCAACATATTCTCTATGAGAAAAAGTAAGATATTTTTCCAGCATGATGTAAATTTTATTTCCTAAATATGTCTGAGAGTAAACAAGCTCATTTTAACTTAAGCTTTGTATCCTAAATACAAGTTAAGTTAGTAGGTATAACTAACTCCTAGAAAGCTAGAAATAACTATATAAACAAATAAATCAAAATGACATTTTTATTTTAATGAAAAAGAATGCACTAGGAAAAACATTATATAATTTGGTTAAAAAAAAAAGCCAAGATCCACCATTCCTTTACTATAAGTAAGCCAAATGCAAATACATTAATATTGCTTTTCTTCTAGAAAGGACAAAGCAGTCAATTTGTAAGGGAGTAAGATAATTTAATCCAATAATATACTTTTTACATTTAAATAGTCACTATAATATATTCATATACTCTTACTTAAAGATCTCTATTATTCAAATGATACTAGATCAAGTATATTCTATGATAGATATTTTCAACTTTTTATTATGTAAAACTAGTGGGCAAATACACACATGAATTTCACAAGGTAAACACATTCATGTAATCAGAATCCAGTCCAACAAGGAGAGTATTACCCAAATGTCAGAAACCACCCTCATGGGGCTGGCACTGTGGCATAGTAGGTTAAGCTACCATCTAAAGTGCCTGCATTTCATATGGGTGCCAGTTCAGGTCCCAGCTGCTCCACTTCCAATCTCACTTCCTGCTAAAGTACCTGGAAAAGCAGCAGAGTATGGTCCCAGTGCTTGGGCCCTGCACCCATATCGGAGACCCAGAAGAAGCTTCTAGCTCCTGGCTTCAGATCGGCCCAGCTCTGGCCATTGTGGCCATTTGGGAAGTGAACCAGCAGATAGAAAACCTCTCTCTCCCTCTGTCTGTAACATTGGCTCACAAATAAATAAATAAATCTTTAAAAAAAAAAGAATCCATCTTCAGTTTTTCCAGTCACTGGTTCACCAAAGGTAACAACACAGATTAATTCCACCTCCCTTGCCATGTTTGCCTTTTATAAAATGGAATCAGATAGCATGTTTTCTTTTGAGTCTAGTTTGTATTTCATGATATAGGAGGAAAGTCCAAATGAGACTATAATAAGCTCAGACATTTGGGAAATGACTACATTGTTACCAAGTTATGGACATGTATTTATGTCCATGGCTCCTGGACCCCTTTCATTCATTCATTGACTCTTCACTGCATCTTCACAAGTGAGCTGTTTATGGTCAGATAGCTCTCAGATATACATGAATAGTGCTATCACAGTGTGTAAGGAGGCTTCAATTTTTTTCCAAATGTATTTTATTGCCTAGAAAACTTTTATTTAAAGTATACAAACTTCTTATATTTCATACCTACAAATTTAAGAACACAGTGATTCTACCCACCCTACCCTCCCTCCCACCTGCACACCCACCATTCTTCCTCCTCCCTCTCTTATTCCCTTTCTGATTTTTTATAAAGATCTATTTTTAATTAAATTTATATACATAAGATTAAGTAAAGAATTCAACAACTAGTATTAAGAAAAAGAAAACTGTTCCTCAACTGTCAAGACAAGAGCTGTTCAAAATCATCATATCTCAAAGGGTCAATTTCACTCCTATAGATTACATTTTAGGTACTCTGCTAATCACCACAGATCAGGGAGAACATGGTATTTGCCTTTTGGGGAAGGGCTTATTTCACTAAGTATAATAGTTTCCAATTGTACCCATTTTGTTGAAAAAGATGAGATTTCACTTTTTATATAACTGAGTAGTATTCCAATGTGGACATATCCCATAATTTCTTTATCCAGTCTTCAGTGGACAGATGTATGGATTGATTCCATATCTTTGCCATTGTGAATTGAGCTGCAGTGAACAAAGATAACCCTTTAATATGCTGGTTTCATTTCTTTTGGCAAATTATCAGGAGTAGGATGACTGGGTCATATGGTAGGTCTATATTCAGATTTCTGAGGTATCTCCATACTGTCTTCCACAGGGCTGTACCAGTTTATATTCCCACCAGAGATCCAGTTTTCCCAGCACCATTTGTTGAAGAGACTGTCCTTGCTCCAGAGATTGATTTTAGATCCTTTGTCAAAGATAAGTTCATTGTAGATGTGTGGATTGATTTCTGGATTTTCTATTCTGTTTCACTGGTCTATCCATCTGTTTTTGTGCCAGCACCATGCTGTTTTTATTATGACTAACCTGTAGTATGTTTTAAAATCTAATAGAGTAATGCCTCCAGCTGTTATGTAAGATTTCTTTAGCTATTCAGGATCTCCTGTGTTTCCATATGAATTTCAGTATTGTTTATTCTATATGTGAATAGGAAGTCCTCAGTATTTTGATTGGTATTACATTAAATCTGTAAATTGCTTTCATTAGTATGGACAGTTTGATGATATTGACTCTTCCAAACCATGAACATGGAAGATTTTTCCATTTTTTTGTGTGTTTTCTTCTATTTTTTCTTTAATGTTTTGTAATTCACATCATAGATCTTTGATGTCCTTGATTAAATTTATTGCAACATATTTTAGGATTTTTATAGCTATTGTGATTTGGATTGATCCTAAAAATTCTTTCTCAGCCATGGCATTGTCAGTGTATAAAAAGGCTGTTGGTTTTTGTGTGTTGATTTTATATCCTGCCACTTTACCAAAGTCTTCTAGAGTTCCAATAGTCTTTTAGTGGAGACTTTTTGATCCCCTATAAATAGAATCATGGGATCTGCAAATAAGGACAGTTGTACTTCCTCTTTCCCATTTTGTATCCATTTGATTTCTTTTTCTTGCCTAATGGCACTGGTTAAAATTTCCAGGAATATATAGAATACCAAACCAGTGGTGACAATTGATATCCTTGTCTGTTCCAGATCTTAGCAGGAATGGTTCCAACTTGTCCCCCATTCAATAGGACAGTGGTCATGGGTTTATCATAAATTGCCTTGATTGTGTTGAGGAACATTCCTTCTATATTGATTTTGCTTAAAGTTTTCATCATGAAAGGATGTTGTATCTTATCAAATGCTTTCTCTGCATCTATTGAGACAATCGTATGATTTTTGTTCTTCAGTTTGTTAATGTGATGCATCACATTGACTGATTTGAGGTTTCTGAACCATCTCTGCATCCCAGGAATTTGTTGAGGATTTTTTTATCTATGTTCATCAGGGAAACTGGTCTATAGTTCTCTTTCTCTGTTGTATCTTTTTCAGGTTTATGAATTAAGGTGATGCTGGCTTCATAGAAGGAGTCCCTCTCTTTCAGTTGTTTTGAATAGCTTGAGAAGAATTGCAATTAATTCTTCTTAAATGTCTAGTAGAATTCAGCAGTGATGTTATCTGGTCCTGGGCTTTTCTTTGTTGGGAGGGTCTTTATTACTGATTCAATTTCCATCTTGGTTATCGATCTATTTAGGTTTTCTATGTCTTCATGGCTCAATTTAGGTAGGTTTTGTGTGTCCAGGAATCTATCCATTTCTTCAAGGTTTCCCAATTTGTTGACATTCAGCTCTTTGTAGAAATTCATGATCACTCTTTATGTCTGTGGTATCTGTTGTTACATTTCCTGTTCTATTTCTAATTTTATTGATTTAAGTCTTCTCCTGCTTTTCAGTTAGTTGCACCAATGGTGTGTCAATTATGTTAATTAAAAAAAAAAAACAGTTATTCGGTTGTCCGGCACCTCCCAGCATGCAGCCTTCTGGCCACCTTCTCTCTTTTCTTGTCCTCACTATGTTACCTGTGGCTGCTCCTAACTGCACGCTTGCTCCACATGGCTCCCGACCTGCTTTCTGCCTGGTATAGACCCAACTTACTTTCTAGACTTCTTTCTATTCTAGACTTCTTTCTCCCCTAAATAAAGCCCTCGCTTTCCTGTGTATTTTTCTCACTGAATAAACGCTAAAAAATGTAAAATTAAAAAAACAGCTCTTCATTTTGCTAATCTTTTGTATTGTTTTGGGGTTTCAATTGTATTTATTTCTTCTCTAATTTTAATTTTGCTGTTGTTTTTCTAGCTCCTTGAGATGCATTATAGCTCATTTATTTGGTGCCTTTGCAATTTCTTGATGTAGGCACCAACTGCTATAAACTCCTCTTAAAACTGTTTTTGCTGTATCCCATAAGTTTTGATGTGTTATGCTGTCATCTTAATTCACTTCCAGAATTTTCTTTATATCTCTTTCAATTTCTCCTATGACCCACTGTTCATTCCAGAAGCTGTTGTTCAGTCTTGATTTGTTTGCATATGTTCTAGAGATTTTTTTTTTGATAGG